TCTAGCACATTGAATCAGATACAACCTGTCCAGGTCACTGCCAGGCCTCCATAAAGCCTCAGGCAGTGGTGCCTTCTTATTCCCGTGTAGCTTTCAAAAGGTGTCTGCCAGAAAGTATCACCTATCAGATACTACACTGTGGAATTACACAGTTCTCTTTGCAATTTGCTTTCCCTCAGCATCAATATGGCCCAGGGCAGGGCAAAAGGGGTGATAGGCAGCTGCTCCACTGAATCTCCAGGACCCCCCCCCCCACACACACACACAACAGTGAAAGTCACATGGCCGGAACTCTCTCTGAGCAGTTAATCCGGAGCAATTTGAAGGCTCCCATCTTTCACACATGCAGCACTTTGAACAGCTTTGTGCTTTCCCAAACCAAATGAAAAGTGGTTGTAATTTGGTGTGAATTTCACACGTGCACAAACAACTATAAGGCTTGGTCCCTCTGCTTACCCCCATGAGGAAATCTTAAGTACCCAGTTAAACTACTTCCCTCCAGGGTTTATGGCTGAGTCCAGTGGGTTCTGGGGAAAAGGGCCTCTGTCGACTTCCTACTTCGTCTTTGTTGTTTTATGTGCAACTAACTGCACCTCGCTGGCCACCAAAAGCTAAAAGACAAGATTGCCTGCTAAGGAGCATTCCATTTTAGAAGGAGCTGCCACTGCCTGCTAATTAACCTCTCTAGGCTCCGGCAGTTCCCTTCTTACTAGGAATGAACCCCTAGAAAGGGATGCCTTTCTGCCCTGCCCTATATCTCTAAGCAGCTTCCCCAGTACGAAGCTCCCTTCCCCTTTCCATTTACTTATTAGAAAGTAGCTACATCTGATAATAGTAAGATGAATGCCACACTTTTTGCAGTATCAGAATTAATTTTTTGATCTCTTGCTGTCCACTCAGCCTCTCCAGAGCTTTAAAAATATTTATTACTTTATTAACTAATTAATATATTTAGTGACATATATAAAACAGAGAGAGCATGTGTGTGTGTGTGTGTGTGTGTGTGTGTGCGTGTGGGTGTGTGTGTGGTT